CTTGAGCCCATCAATACTATAGGAAGTCGTTCTCCACTTGAAATTGGAAAATGAAAAGCCGCGCCCTTTTATTTTTTTTAAAAACTTTCAATTGGTATTCCATTTTCTTGGTTTTCCTATCCATATATTATAGGACTCATGCCAACGAAAACTCCCTTTTCTTTTAGGAACAAGAGAGAGCAGTATTTTTTTTTCTTTTCAATTTGTCTTCTTTTAGGACCCAACTTTTCTTGTCCAGAAATTTTAGGACATAAACTCCTCAATCCTGAAATTTGAGTTCTTCTCAAAGAGTGACAGCTCAATGAAACCAAGTTGGAAACGAATTAAAGACTACCTTCTGGGGTCTATATAAGGACTCATTCCGATGCATTATATTCACACCAACTCTTCGAGTCTTTCCTTATTGTCTTTGTGACAGAACTTTCCTGGCAGCTTGGAGAACTTGCAAGAGAAAATTTATAACTTGTTGTAGGGGCACCTGAATCTTAAACGGTTTGTGGAGCTGGAATGCAAACTCGCGGAGCCTCGACATATCCGAAAATCACGATCACATAGCTCGTAGATTTGTTTAGGTAATCTCTTCGAAATCAGGTTCTTACTTCAAATTCGCTGATGGTTTTAGAATCGCGCGTCGTCACGAGAAACTTAATAATTTTTTGAAGGGATACCGAAATCACGAACGGTTTACGGCATTGGAAAGTAGACTCGTGGAGCTTCGACATATCTGAAAATCACGACCAGAAAGCTAATAGATTTATCCAGGTAATATTCTGAAATTCAGAGTTGAGATCTTGCTATATTGCGTCTCCAGATTTGCGCTCGCTCACTAGATAGTTTGTATCTTGACGTAAGAAGCCCGAAATCAAGCACATCTTGATCCTTTGAAGACTAAACTTCAGAGACTACTTTTACACCAAATACTAACACTTTAATTCATCGTGTGCTGGTTTCTATGATTTCTTTTAGAGTTAGCTGCAGGATTTGATTTTTTATTTCAGTTTTGCACATGCTTCACGAATTTTAATCTTCTTCCTCGATTCCTTTCGTGCAGCGTATACAACCTTGACTTCCGGCAATCAAGATGCAATTTCATGACCATAATAAGCCGCACCCTCATCTTGAAATCACGAGCGACGAGCAAAATCAGTCCGATAAGGTTCTCTCCTTGGCAGTTCATCCTCCAGTGATCGGTTCCTTCCCTCTTGTTAGAAAGCTGCCTGCCGCATCTCTTCATCTTACAGAATGGTGGACTAGGGAGGCCAAAGATGTTATGGGAGAATTTTCGGGAGAGTCACTAATATGAAGGTCCCTATTTTGAGGTCCGCAATTCATCGGGAAGTCGCGCCGTCTGAATTTTCTCATCGTGATGGATGCTTCCACACTTGGAATGTTTCCCCTTCTGGATTTGGCAAGGTTCGCTACACACCCGGCTACTGGGAGTGGGTAGAAGATGTGCTCCCCCGCCACAAAAATTTTTTGGAAGATCTGAAGGTCTACGATGCCATATACGCTTCATTGTTTACGTACGATTATAACGACAATGTGCTTCAGGCCTTTTGTGAGCTTTGGCGTCCATCCACCAACACACTTGCTACCTTCATTGGAGAATTATCTATATCTTTATGGGACTTGCGAACTATTGGAGGCCTTCCCGTGTATGGGTCCTTTTATGACGAAGTAGTTCCTTCAGCAAAGGAGTTGACAGAAATGGATTGCTTTGCCGACATAGATGATCTTGGTATGAGCGCAAAGAGCTCTCACAGGTCACCAAATGGTTCTAAGGATCATGGTATGGGTGGAGCTTCTTCGGTGGAGTTAATTCCACCTAGAAAGCCATATTCTTCTTCTCTGGTTCATAGAAAGTTTATCCAACCAGCTGTGATGAGTGAGGTTGCGGCTGCTACAACTGAGGTCATGCACCCGAAATTGTTCAGGCCTTCCTCATGGCCATTGCAGCCTGGTGCTTCAAGCAAAGAGCCACATGAGACTATTTGTCGTGCCAAATCGACTTTTGTTTCTGTGATGTGGCGTGGATTGTGCAAGTGGATCAAGGAGTTCTCTGTAGATTCCACGGACAGCTTTATGAAGTTGGAGGAAAGTATTAGTTTGACTCTTACGGAAATACGAAGAGAGAATATCATTGATATTTCTACCTTGGAGGATCTAGTTGAAGCTTTCTTCAAGACTTATGCAGAGTATGATGCTTTAAGATCATCCAAGATGAGTAAAGAATTACACCAAGATTCACTCTCTAACGCACAACAACGCCTCGATGATGCGAAGTTGGAATATGGGAAGGCAAATGAGTCCGTTGAAAGACTTCTAGTGGCTCTTGAGATTGTCGAGACACAATTAGCAACCCTGACCTCTAAAAAGAACAAGATCATCGTGCTCCTGAATAAACGACAAGAGAAGATGTCCAAAAGTCAACAGGAAATCACCGTTACCGAAGACGAGATTTATACCATTGAGGCGAACGTTCCGTTGTCGGATGATGAAGCAGAGAAACTGTCCCTCTTGAAAGATGCAGTTAAAACGAGTCTCCAGCAAATCCTTAGCTTCAAACCTTTTCCATAGCGTTAGATTTTTTTATTTATTTTTATTTAGGGCCCCCTGCCTCTTTCCCTTTTTTTTAGATGGATATCATGTATTGATATTTCTTTTCTTAGCGCAATAAAAGTACTTTCTTTTTTTATTTGCACTGTCCCATTGAATTTTGAGTTTCCTGTGAATTATGGCATGGATGAATTATACAGGTATATCGAGGTTAATCGAGAAAAACTAACTAGTATCATAGTTCTAAAACAGTTTATTTCTAAAACATATGACGCTCGGATTCTTTGCTTGGCCGATTCTCCGTCTTTACACTTTTGTATAATTCCCATGTTTGGTGTGTTGTTGGTTAGAATTGCACCCTGTGTTTGTTAATCGCTTCTTCCTGATGCTGCTAAGAAAGGTCAATGAACTACCAAAGTTGCTTTTTCAGATTCTTTGCTCTGTTGTTGGAGACATTGCCGAATGAAACGCTGTTGCACTTTTTAGCGTCGCAATACTTGAGCTCGATTACACATCTTTTGGCTTGAAACGCTGCTGCACTTTTTTAGCGTCACAATACTTGAGCTTGATCGGCTATGTTTACTGCATAATGGTAAGTTATTTTGCCGATAGTGTTCAAAGTTGCTGCGCTGCTTTAATCATGCTTCTTAGAAGAATTCCCTTTGTTTTTATTTTTATAGTTCAGTTTCTACTGCATTGGAACAGATGAAGGTTTCTTTGTTGCAGTCAGCTACTCATTGAGGCTTTAGTCGAATGACCATTCCCAAACGCGAGCCATGGACTCCATTCGGTGACAAACATATTTAGGTTACTCTTTACTGAATGCACGTATTTGATGACTTCTAACTGGACGACTTGCTCACATGTTCTTTAGGGACTTCGCAGTGCGTCTGTTTGTATTGAAAGCCTACGCCAAGTTTAGAAAATAGTACACAGCAAAAGCTTCATGATATGATGCTGGAGAGGTAGTGAAGATCACATGTGGCAGAGTTATTTTCTATTACAACATGTGTCATTCACTTCATGCGCCTTGAAATTCCTTCCGTGTTGGTCCGAGCTGATTCCTGAAGTTAATCTTTAATTCAGATTTCAGACCAAAATTGCTTCTGGATTAGTTGCAGTAGTTTCTTGAATTTGTTCTAACTGCAATAACTTTACAAGTTTGCATACTTTCAGCGTAGAACATCATATCCCCATCTAGGAGTGTCGGAATTCTGATCCGTCTGTGTTGTTAGGAAGTAAACTTAGAGACCTTCAACATGTATGCATTTCATATTAGGACTCCTTCAGGGCTATCAATAGAACATTCTCCAAGTCGACCTTACTGCAGTAAACTTTCCAATTAGCGTACTTTCAGCGAGAAACAATGTATCTTGAGCTAGAGTAATCGGAATTGAAATCCGTTTGCTCCGTTAGAAAGCAAACTCAGGGGCTTACAACTCATACAATTTTCATAGCAAAACTCCTTTCGGACTGTCAACAGAATTTTTTTGAAATTGACCTAACCGCACTAAACTTTCCGATTTGCGTACTTTCAGCTAAAAACAATGTATCTTAAGCTAGGGGAATCGGAATTGAAATCCGTTTACTCTGTTAGAAAGTAAACTCAGAGCCTTACAACTCATACAATTTCCATAGCAAAACTCTTTTCGGACTGTCAACAGAAATTTTTTGAAGTTGGCCTAACTGCAGTAAACTTTCCGATTCGCGTACTTTCAGCGAAAAACAATGTATCTTGAGCTAGGAGAATCGGAATTGAAATCCGTTTGCTCTGTTAGAAAGTACACTCAGAGTCTTACAACTCATATGATTTCCATAGCAAAACTCCTTTCGAGCTGTCAACAGAAAATTCTTGAAGTTGGCCTAACTGCAGTAAACTTTCAAACTCGTGTACTTTCTTTTGTATGGTGGATCCGAATTGCGATATGTCTGGTCCTTTGGCATCTTACCTTCGAAATCCATGTCATGCCGAAGATGAAGACCGAGTTCATCCTTGAAGAGAGAGAATGTGGCACCTCTCATCGGATTGGCGCGGAAGAGGCTTGGAGTTGGAGCAATTGTATTCTTCTATGCAAGCGCGCATGTGGCGAAACTCATGATTCTTGCAGATTGGCACGGAATAGGCTTGGAGTTGGCCTTTCCAACTTCGGCGAGCAAGCACTCGGTGCGTCTTTGCTACTTTGACTTCATAGCATTTCATGCTTGCATTGAAAAAAACTGTATCTCGACCTAGGAGTGTCCAAACTGCAATTCGCTTGGTTCTGCAGAATCAAAACTTGCGACAGGATAAGTCGGAATGAACCTTTGAAGGCGATGCATCAATCTGTCATTTCGGCTTCACAGCACTGCATGCTGAAAATATCGCGGCAGAACTCCTTTTAGATTGGTCGCGATATTATTTTGAAGTCGCTCCTAATGTCCGCCTTGCATTTGTTTCGGCTTTGTGCACTCCTGTCGAATGATTCATATCTCGAGCTAGGAGACTCCGAATTGAGATCCGTTTGCACCGTCAGAAAGTACACTCAGAGATCTGCAATACCTATGAGTTTTGTGGCAGAACTCCTTCCGAGCTAGAAACAGAAATTTCTCAAAGTCCACCTAGCTGCAGTAACTTTCAGATTCGTGTAGTTCCAGCGAAAAAATCATATCTTGAGCTCGGGGCCTCCAAATTGCAAACGGTTTGTGTTATTACAAACTAGACATCCAAATCTACAACATATGAAATGTTAGGAGCAGAATATCTTCAAGATGGACTGTAGTAGTTTTCCAAAGTTGATCCCGTCGTCTGTCGAGCTTGCTTTCTAGCTCTATGCTCTCTGAGTTGTCCTACAAATATTTTTTTTCTTCTTGAAATTGACTCTACAGTCTTGCATGTAGTAGCTTGGCTATATGCGTCATAATTCTTATCTCTTCATTTATTTCTTTTGCAGACTCGCAAAGAAGCTCAAAGAGTCCGGATGTCAGATCGAGGTATCATACAAGATGTGGAGTCACTCCTTCACCAACTATTGCACTTGATTTGTTGATAGTTTTGAAGTTCATCAATGGCGGCTCCCATGGTGATTGGGACCTTCAACCAACAATTGAGGATGGTATCAAATGTGGAGATGCCATACAGACTTGGAAAAGCATTTGGACATGTCAGCAACAAAGCCTAGCTTACGATCATCTTCATGGTTTAGGCTTTTATATAGAAAAATATCTAGTTCCTATTGTCTCTATATTTTTTTGGATGTATCAACTTTTGTACTATTGAAGCTATAAGACATCTTTTATACTTCAACGCAAATCGTCTCATTTTCCTCATAGATATGTGCCTCTACACTAGGTAGAATTAATGTAATGATCCGATGATGCCAAACTTTTATTTTTTTAAAACTCATGCGACTGAACTTAGAATGAAAGTCTAAGCTGCCTACGTACCTCGGTGAAGAGGATCAAGTCATAAAGTAGTTCAAAGGGATGAGTTTTTTTTTTATTTTTATTTTTTCCTAGGCCGCCTCTTTCGAGGTTTTCAACCTAGCAGACTCTTTTTTTTTGGCCGTACACAGTTTAGACTCATGCGGGCTAGGAGTATAGCAATGTGCAGTTTAAGCTCATGCATCAAGGAGCGTCATGACTTGCAGTTTAGGCTCGTACGTCGAGGAGCGTTGCAACTTCAAGGATAGTACTTTTTCAAAAACTTGCCATTGATAGGGCCGATTCTCATGTTATCTGCATCAACCAGCTTGTATGCCCCACTTGAGTAAGATTCTTGTATAACATATGGCCCATCCCATTTTGGAGTGAACTTCCCTACATGTTTATGGGAAGTAATTATGGGTCTTCGTACGGCAAGGACTTGATCTCCTACTTGAAAGGATCTCGGGCGAACTCTTTTATTGAAGGCGCGAGACAATCGAGCTTGATAACATTCAAGACTCTGTTGAGCTTCCAACCTCTTCTCATCAAGAGCCTCCAACTCTGCTAATCGAAGTCGAGCATTTTCTTCATCAGTGATCCCTTCTTGAATAGCCAGTCATAATGAAGGTATTTGACGCTCAAGTGGCAAGACGGCTTCGACTCCATAAACGAGCGAATAAGGAGTTGCTTGTGTTGGTGTGCGGTGAGTCGTCCTATATGCCCATAGAGCTTCTTCCATACGATCATTCCAATCTCGTTTGGATTTGGAGACGACTTTCTTTAGAAAGTTGCATAGAGTTTTGTTGAATGCCTCAGCTAGACCATTGGCCGCAGCATTGTACATCGAAGAGTTACGTTGCTTGAAGCCAAAGAGATCACAAACCTTATTCATAAACCTATTATCGAATGGCTTTCCATTAGCCGTTATTATGTAACGAGGAATGCCAAAGCGATAAATAATGTTTACTCGGATGAAATTTGCAACATTTTCCTTTTTTACTTCCTTAAGAGCAACAACTTCAGCCCATTTTGTGAAGTAGTCGGTTGCAGCCAGGATGTATAGGTGCCCACCAGAGGACTTTGGCAGTGGTCCAACAACATCCAATCCCCAAGCGTCAAACGGCCAAGATGCCATAGTCGGGTGCAACACTTCAGGGGTTGATGAATAAAATTCGCGTGGAATTTACAAGCCTTGCATCTTCGAGCAGAGTCCAAGCAATCTTTTACCATCGTTGGCCAATAATATCCCATCTTTTTTATATGGAAGTGGAGCTTTGGTCCAGACTGGTGTGACCTACATACCCCCAGAATGCGCTTCTTGCAAAGCTTGGAGTGCTTCATCTTCCCCTAATCATCGCAAGAGTACTCCCTCGAATGATCTTCTGTATAGGGTATCTTTGTAGTAAAGGAAGCGAGGTGCACGACGACGGATTTCAGTTCTTCTCCGCGGATTTTCTGGAAGTATCCCATAACACAAGTAGTCGATAATGGGTTGTCGCCATTCCTCTTTCTCGACTTCAGAAACAGCGACAAGATGCTTGAGTTCATTTTCTTCACCTTCAGCCTCATTTGGCGGAGGTACTACCCATTTTTTGCAGACAGTAACTTGCGCGTGATCAGACAGGGTTAGCGATGAAGCTAGGGCAGCTAAAGCATCTGCCTTCTTGTTTTCTTTCCTT